AAGGAAGGAAGGCTGGTGCTCAGTGCTTATCTTGAGTTCAAGCCACTAAAACCTAAACCCTAAAGCCTGTGTGATCATTAACGAAGACCTACATTTCATCAGCCACGTCAAAGCTGGAAATAAATTCTTATTCTGGAAACTCAAAATATATCAGAGCTATGTTTACTAAAGGCCTGGTAGATTCACCCCAGCTGTAGATGCTTTTAAAGTAAACTAAAGACTAATTTTTAATTATTTTAATTATTTCATTTACTGCTTTTAACTATTCAGTTTTATCAACAAAGTCTGGCAGTACTTTTATTCTGCACTTTTCCACAAATGTGCACTTTCTCATCCACAAAAACAGTTTCCTCCAACTGCTACCTATGCTGCGTTCAGGACATTTTGTAAATGTGAGATAGTCAAAAATTGTTTCAATAAAACCTACAGATCTACCAAAATCTACCAACAAAATCTATTTCATTACTTAGAAAATCTCCCTGAGACACAACAGAGAAGTGTATTTATTTATTATTGATTGTTTATTTTTATATTACTTGAAGATGCCATTATTACCGACACACCCTGAATGCAGCACCGCAGCAGGAGTTGTGAGAAGTGAAAGGGAAAGCACTCCGAGGCTTTTAGCGGCACAGAGGTGAGGATTGCTATTGTTGTGCGTCGATAATAAAGTAAATGACTGGTTTTTGAAGGGTCTGCTGGAATGTCTTCAAAGTGTGAATCTTACAACTGAAGGTTTGCTCATTTATTTTGCAGTTGTGTTTTCGTTTCCAAATGAACGAGTGCGATTGATTGATTGTCAGTTTGTAATTCCTTACAGCTGCCATCAGCGTGGAGGTGGACTGAGGATGAGTTGGATTCAAGGTGCTTCACAGTCTTTTTACAGCACTGTGACCTCTTGGGGTAAGATGCAGATTGTTTTGCACATTTAATATATGTGTTCTACACTCAATAACCCATAGTGTTAAAGTAAAAAATAAGTTATTAGAATTGTATTTTATTTCTTATTTTGTTGCTAATGTACTGTTTAGACATAGTGCCTGCAGCTCTGCCTCATGAGTGCATTTTGTGCTTTTGGTCCAGAGAATCTTTTTCTTCAGTCTTTTAAATGCAGTTTAGAAAATATCAATTTATTCTGTCCTGTGCTTCTGTCGAGCTGCTCTGATATAAGGGGCTGAATGGTGAACAGCTGCTGAGAACTTTTTGAGTGCCTCTTTGGTTCTTGGTCACCTCTCTGACCAAAGCCTTTCTCACACAGTTAATAATAAGAATACTTATACATGATGCTTATATAGTGCTGTTCAAGACATTCAAAGATGCTTTCCAAAGTAGGTAACAATGCAAAAGACATCTTGACATATAGAACTGGGATTATGAGTTATAGGCAGGGTTGTAAAGATGTGTATTGATGGATTTGATATAGAGAATGAGGAGGAGGTTCTCAGTTTGGCTGGACTGCCAACTCCAGGCAGAGTCCTGCTGGTTCCTAACTTCTTCAGTTTACTTTATTGATGTCAGTGTGCTCTTATGAAGTCTCAAAGCTTCAGAAATGGTTATTATCTTGATCTATGCATTGCCATAGTTTTGTCATGGAGATCTACAGAGAGCGTTGCATTAAATCCTCACAGAGTGTAAGAGTATGTGTGCTTTTCTGAACTCTGTTAAAATCAACTGACCTTTTTCACAGCAAACATTTTCACTTGTCATAACAGGAAAAGCACATGTGAGGCAAATTTTGACTTCCTTCCATGAAGTGTTCCAATAAGCCGTGACAGTCAGCGAAACTGCACGATGCAAAGATCCTTCAACTGGCTCAACTAAACAGAATGCAGCCATTTTTAATGTTGCATGCGTTTATAATGTTAGCAACAAATAAAGCAAAAAAAGATGCACCGGTTCCACATTTGAATCAAATTGTGAAGTGATCTGAAGGCTTTCTGGATCCGCAGTTATCTCAGTTTATGAACTGCATATCCATTCCCAACAATCTCGTCCCAGCAGCTCATACTAAGTACCATGGCTTGTTAAACCAAGGGGCAACATGTTACCTGAACAGTGTGCTGCAGGTGCTTTTCATGACCGAAGACTTCAGAGAGGCTGTGAAAAGGTTTGTTGCAATACCAGATTTTATGCATGATAAATTGTCTTCAGTTCAAATTAGATCTCCGATGCACCTCCTAATGGCCTCTATGTCTGTATTTATTTAGGTACACCGATGAAAATCCTGACACTCAGCTTATAGATCATCATCTTAATGCCTTGTTCAGTGATTTACGGACGTCTACAGCATACACATATAATATAACGAGGACACTGGGCATCGACAAAGGTACAGTAAATATATAACAACAAAGCCTTATATTTGCTACTTTTTGTAAGATTTGCTCCACTCTGACAATCATCATCATAATGGATCATTCTGAGATTGAAATACAAGAACAGTATTTTCTATTTAATTTGAAGAAGTACACTTTTATCTCCCCACCCAGTGTATGAACAGCGGGATGCTGCTGAGTACTTTGAGAGGATTTTACGGATGACCAGTGAAGACGCATCACAGGTAAAGACCACCTCAAGGGAATCTAGACAGTCATGGAAAAAAATTATTAGACCACCCTTGTTTTCTTTCCTTCGTGTTCATTTTAATGCCTGGTACCACTAACGGTACATTTATTTGGACAAATATAATGACAAAAACAAAAATACCTCATAAGAATTTAATTTAATAGCTGATGTCTAGCCATTTTCCATGGTTTTCTTGATAATCAAAATCATTTAAGTCCTTAGATCAATAGTTATGGCATTGTACTGGCAAAAACGGTGCTTTTAGGTATTCCCTGTTTTGTTTTCTGTCTTTTTTAGTCACTTGATACACACAGGAGTTAGTACTTGATTGCATAACCATCTTGGCATGCTCTCCACCAGCGTCTGACATTGTTCTGCTGTCACAGCAGCTCATTCCTGTTGCACAAATTCAAACTAATTTGCTTTGTTTTTGGCCTTGTGGTTCTCCATTTTGCGTTTGATGACTTTCTACAGGTTTTCAATTGGATTTAGATCTGGTGATTGAGCAGGCCAAGGCATGGTTCCAATGTTCTGCTTCTCCATCCAGGCTTTAACTGACCTTAGGGGCATTATGTCATTTTGTGTGTATTTCTTAGGGCATTTTTTTGTTGGAAAATGCAGTCATTGGAGGCAGGAAAGAGTTTTCTAGCTGATGGAAGAAGACTGTTTTTAAGAGAAGCCCTGTACATCACCTGGTTCATTTGTCCTTTACACAATTGCATATGCCCAGTTCCACCCATACTGAAACAATCCTTGTAATCCTCAGCAAAGAGTAACTGAGCTTTCCTCTGCTTTTTGTTGATGAAGGGCTTCTTCCGTGCCCTGTGTGACTTCAGACCAGCTTCAAGAAGGCGGTTTCAAGCTGTCCTTGCCTAACAAGTTACATTTGTCGACAGTGCCCGCTCATTTTTAAGGTCCCTGGAGGTCTGACGATGATTCCTGACACAGGAACAGATGAGTGCACGGTCATCTCTTGGGGTAGAAAGACGTTTCCTGCCGCCACCAGCTAGCAATGTGGTAGTACCATGTTGGGCTTGTTTTTTTTTCTTAGTGTCATGAACGGCTGTCTTGGAGATCTTCAGTTTTTTTCACTACCTGTCTCTCACTCATGCCAATTTTCAGCAGTGGCTAGATGGCTGCCTGTGCGGCTTCACATAATTCTTTTGTTTTAGGCATTATGAGAGAGCTGACAACTTCTGAGTTGTGCTACAGCTGGAATGTAGGCAGGAAACCACTGTGGGCCTTTGCATGTGCTGCCCATGACATGAAATGATTCTTATATACCCTGGGAATACAATTAAGCTTAAACATGTCAAATAGGACATAAAGTATGATGTAATCAACTGCAGATTTTGTTGTGTTCATTGTATTCTTCAGGTAATATACCTTTTGTGGTACCAGGCATTAAATGAACAAGACATTGAAGCAAACAAGGGTGTTAAAATAATTTTTTCCTCGACTGTATGTTGCATAAAACATACACTGATTTACATTCATCTGTGCGTTTGTATTTTCAGATCTTCCACGGACTGTTGTCACAGAAGACCACCTGTCGTAAATGTCATGCAGACATTGACAGAGATGAGGCCTTTTGGCATCTTCCTCTTGCGTTGGTGGATTCCTGCAGTGACTGCTATAGTGTGGTAAGAATCTGACAAGCTGCATGTTTCTGTTGATAGAGCATAGCGAGTAAACTGAATACAGTGATAGCTGTGATATATCAGAAACAGGGAAATACTGCATGTATTTGGTGAGTCTGTCTGAAAAAAGAAAAAAGAAGTAGGTTAAACTTTACATGGAGCATGTAGGAGCCAGTTAGTGCTCAGTTCTTTAAGAAGGTGTTCCTCTCAGTTTTTTGACTGCTGAGGCAGCTTGTTGCTAAAGCAGTGGTTGTGTGTGGTACTTCTAGTCTGCATATTATGGAAAATATGTTGAGCTTAGGTGTGGAGTAGCTGTACGGTGTTTGAGTCATAGGGGAGCTGGTGTGCTCCAGCTGCAGCGAGTGGGGAGGAGTGTGAAGCCAGAAGCAGGGACTAAAAAGATCTGCACTCTCTAGGGACAGAACAGTGTTAAGTTTCGTCTGCACTGTTTTAAGGCAATTTTGATGAACAGAAATGTGTTTTTGGGGGGTGAAACGAGTGACTGTAGAACAGGGTCTCCAACTCTGGTCCTTGTGAGCTACTGTCCTGCAGGTTTTAGAAGTGTCTGTACTGCAACACACCCAACTCAAATAAATGGATCTCTAAAAGCTTATTGTCAAGTTCTACACAAGTCTGTTAATGATCCATTCATGTGTACAGAAACATCTAAAACCTACAGGACCCGAGTTGGAGATCTCTGCTGTTGAAGAACTTTAAAGAGTTGACTTGACTTCTCCTAAACATGAGAAGATTCTTTATATCACAAATAGAGTTTGTTGGAGCTAACGATAACGAGTGCATGACCTAAATTAACCAAAGAATTGAATGCTAAGTCAATAACTTGAGTTTTACATTTGGATTTAAAGGCCTCTCTTGAGTCAGACTATGTAATGTCAGCAGGGACGTTGTTCAGTCTGCTTTGGTGGTTTATTTATCACTTTTTAGTCAATGTGAACAGCTTTGTCCACTTCCACTAGAATTTATGACTATCTTGCCATTAAAACTTAACATATTCCACTCTTGCTTAGTAACACAAACCCAAACACAAATAGACAAACTGGACTTGCACTATAGAATTAAAAACTTTGTTTTTAACTTTAAAACTATAGTTCAAGTAAATGGTTTTGACTGTCTGAGTTATTCAGTTCATTCCTCTTGTCACATTTCCCTGTCAGCTTATCTCTTGTTCTCAAGTGTGTATTTTTGACCCTTAGCACTGACTGCACCAGTTACATGAACTTCCTTATAGACTAGAAAGAAGAATCCCATAAAATTTTGTAACTACAGGACTCATACAAACTGCCTGACCTTAATTAGTTCTTGTTGACATACTAACCTCAGCAGAGCCAGTTTCAGGTACAATGTGCCTTTTTAAAGTGCAAACTTCTGATTTAAAGCTTGTCTTTCTTTGATTGGTTTTGAGACTCTTAATTGTTTTCATTCGTTCCATTTATTGCTTGATTCTTGGCACCGCATTGGAGGTGTTCTTGTATCTTGGTTGTGTGGTGGTTTGCTTTCTGTCAGATCTCTCTTCAAAAATACATTGTCAGCGCTACTTTCAATAGTAAATAAATGACGTGTGCATTTTTCAGGTGGACGGCGTTAAGGAGTTTTTCAAGGTTTCTGTTTTCTGCGGAGAAGACCAGATGTACTGTGACCCATGTGATGCCAAAGTTGATGCTGATACTGTGAGAAAAGAGAAAACATTATTCTAATTCATGGATATTAAATGACTTTGTAATGACAGCATTAAGAGTTTAATTATAAAACATAAGATGGATTGTTTTTCATTTAGCAATATGTAATGAAGCATCATCCAGAGGTCTTGATTTTGCTGCTGAAGAGGTTTGACTTCAGCTACCGTCACATGTCATATGTCAAAATCAACTGTGATGTCGACGTTCCCTCCGTCATACAGATACCAGAGGTAGAGTACGTATACAATATCTTAGTATTTGATCATTATCTATTTTTCATGATGCCAAAGTCTGCTGTTTTTTTTCTTTCAGAGACAGACGTATGAACTGTACGCATTTGTGGACCATTATGGTGATCTTAGAAGTGGACATTACTCTGCAACAATCAAGGATGAAGGTGAAGACAGATGGTATAAGTTCAATGACACCAGTGTCACATTGGTAAGACTCACCTCTTTCACTCCAGTGTTGCTGAAAGTTGTAAAACCACCGTGTTGCAGGATAATGCATTACAGTAAAAACACATTATTCTTTCCATCAACAGTGTCATGACCAGCCGTTCCAGTCGGATGACACTATGAGGTAAGTTTTTGTCTCTTTTCTTGACCCCAATGCTTCAGTTTTTGTATATACAGTCATGTGAAAAAATAAATAAAACATTTTAACCGTCAAACAGTGACAGGTCTTAAACATAAGCCAGAATGCTGTATCTGAACTGACATGACTTTTTTTCCACATTTCTTCCACTTCTACTAGATCCCACACTGCTTATCTTTTATTTTACAGAAAGAAGAAAGGTAAAAGAAACATTTTCAATATTCTCTCTCGTGTACAGTTTAAGAGAATGCATCAGTCTGTGCAGTCCTTTGTTTGATGTATTTAACATTTATTTTCTGGTGCATTGCAGATGCTGATACTCAAGACAATATGTCCACCAATGGAGGTGTTTCACTTGTTCTTACTGAAAATCATTATCAGTGTGAAGATGCTGAGAAGTTTAAAAAGCAAGTTGAAGGTGAAGTTGATGTAGAAATGGGTGATGACAAAGCAGTGACTGCTTCTGCTGATGAAAATGAAACAACAGCAAATGAAGACACAGTCAGAGATGTGTCCAGAGGAGCAGGGCTTTCAGGGGAACCTGATAATGAAGTTAATGTCTGGCAGACTGTACCAGACAAAAATCAGCAGAATGAGGAAAGAAATGATGATTATCATCAAGATGATGAGGAGGGCATGAGAGGAAAGGCTGAAGACCAGGAACAAAATGCAAGATTGCTCAGCGTTGAAACCAAACATGAAGAAAGTGTCAAATTTAATGAAAGTGCAGGAGCAGACACACACAGAGAGAGGATGCTAGCTGCTAACTTTAAACCAGAATTCAGTGTTGGGCCTGAAATATGTGATCATTCAAACAGACTACATGAGGCAAGCGATGCACAGAGTAGAATAATGGATGCAAAGGCACACAAGGATGAGACAACTGAAGGCAAACAGTCAGAAAAGCACCCAATGGAAGACTCAGACAGGGAGGCAGAATTGCATGAAGGTGGATTAGACAGACAGAACAGAAATAAGGATCAGGACAGTAACCTGAAAACTGGGCAACAGTTTGACCCTGGACACGCACACAAAGAGGTAGAAGAGGAAATGAAAACTGATTTTAAGGGCAACACAGAAAGAACTGCAGCTAATGAATTGCCATCAGTGAAGGGAAAGCTCTTAACAAAATATGATCTCCTCACGATGACAAAGGATCAGCAGAGTAGAGAAGATGATGTTCAGAAGAAGATGCCACAATCTGATCCAGTGTATAGACCGGGAAGCAGAAGCAGGTTGGATAGAAAACATGAACAGCAAAGGAAGGAGGAGAGGAGGGATGTTAAAGGAAACAGGAAGGAGAAGAAATATGAGAGACAAGAAGCTGTAGAGAATCCAGACAATGGAAATCTTGCTGATGCCCAACGGAACAAGGGCAAAAATCCTTTTGTTCATTTAATTGATAAAGAGAAGAAGGAAGATGTTGAGATCATAAGGTATAGTCTCAAGAAAGACAGAAAGTGTTCTTCAAGAGATGAAAGGATTGACGACTTTACAAAGAGCAAACCTTTTGATAATCAGGAATGCAGGAGGGAAAGCATTGACACATTAGGAAGACATTTTGAGGACAAAAAGGACAGTAAGAGAGATGAGGAGCATGACCGAAGGAGAGAATCAACAAGAAAGTGTAGTGAGAGTGTAAAGAGTAAAGACAGCGGGGGATTAGATGAAAGAATCGGACAGAAAAAGAAACAGGCTAAAGAGAAAGAAGAAAAAACTGCACATTTTCATACCAGGGAGCATTCTGGACTGATAGAGAACCAGGAAAGGGGCAGTGAACAACAGGTGAATGTTCACAATAAAGGAGGGTGTAATCAGCCAGAAGGCAGTGTGGAAGTTAGAGGCCCTGCAAAGACACGCAAGAGAACGAGAAGTAGTATTCTGAGTTGTATCAAGAAAGGTGAGACAAAGGCAGAAGAAACCAGTAACTGTTCACAACATGATCAAAACACAGATAGTTTAACAAAAAATGTTAGCAATTTAAAGCTAGCTGAGTTAGCTGTGCCAGAAACAAAGAAACGCAAAACTCTTGGGTGTTTTTCATTGTTTTCAAGGAGTGTAAAAAGTCCAGAGCAGAGTGGAGAGGAGGACTAAGAGGGCATGACATTTTATTTTATAAGAACACGTCACTGAAGAGAAAACAAGAGTGTATCATCAGCTTTTTAATTAACGCTTACTGACACTGAGCAATGTTGCAGACATTTTTAGACTGTGCATTTGAACCAAGACCTGCTCCACAACATTTGACCGTGTCTTATAGTTTTGTAAAGTCATGCACACTATCTGTTCCTGATTGTCATCTTTCTGACACTGGGTGCAGCATGAAGGACAGGTTTGTTTATTTTCTCTCTTGGTATGTTTTTATGGGTTTATCCTGTTGACGACAGGATTTTTTCTATGTAAAGAATCAACAAGACATCACTGACTTCTGGCTTCAGTCTGCAATAGAAAGTAACGCTAAGAACAATAATGAAAATGTCAGGGAGAGGATAAAACCAAATCACATTATAAAGTTTATTTAAATCATCTTCACTGAGTGAAAAATCACATCATTTGTGTCTTTTACTAACTTGAAGAAACTTCAAAACTCTGTTTATAAAAACAACATCCTCATATGTTTTATTTTGTTTTAAAGTTATTCAAAGATGTACTTGTGTAGACGACACAAACTGTAACACGATATGATTTCTGACCAGAAGCTGGGTGTTTTTATGTAACTTTTTGTTGTAATAGTGTTTTTATTTTATTGTCAAGTTATCAGTTTGCAGTTAACTCTTGTGTTGTCATACATAAAGGATTCGGATGCAACTTTAATTCATGAATATATGTATTAAGTGAAAGTAAATCAATATTACAAAGCTTCAGTTGCACTGTTTATGTAAAAACTCACAGATGGCTATTAAAGCATTTTCCAAGCTTCTGAGATTCTTTGGCCTTTTAATCATAAAAACCCTCGTTTGTACTGGAGCTGCCCGGTTACAGCTGTACAAGCACACAGATGTTTGTTATGGGAGGATCATGGTGACCTGGTTGTTTTGACAAATGCTGTGTTAGAAAAGATGCCAGTATCGTGTCATTTTACAAACGTTATGCATCCTTCCTAAAAAAAAAAAGTCTGACATCCCAATCAGAGAGACGGGATTCTAGGTTAGCTTCCCAATCAGCACGTCTCTACCCTGAATGATACAGTCAGCAGAACAGTCAAAGTGCACTAATTTGACCTGAATCTTCACTTCCTGCTATTTACAGTTGTGTGGTTCTCACTGAAATGTTTCCCCTCTAATTTTTAAACAGTAACAAAGCTATACACTGCGTTTCATTCATTTCAATTTTGGGATTTTTGTTTTTCCATTGACCCTGTGTGTTAATGCAGGTCACAGATTGCCAGATTTGCTTTAATGTATGTTCAAATTGAAAATTTTAAACACACATATCAATGCAAAATGGGGATTTGAAATGCAAACACGTCTATAACTGTGACAAAAGTCAAATTCTCCTCCTTGGTGCTGCCTCATCTTCAACAGTAAATCACACAAGTCAGAGGACTGGCTCTGCACTGCCCTCTGCTGTGTGTTCAAACGTCCACCTGACTGATGTTTGACGGCTGTGATATTAAGCCATGAACACATCTACTTTGACTGTATGCTTCAAGCTCTGCCTTGTTTTGATTTGGTTGCAATTTCTCACTTGAGCCTCAATGGATGGAATCAAATAACAAAGAATGTCAGCTTGTTGGTGTTGACTGCAAGTTGTTGACTTTAAGAGTGTTTGAAAAAGAGTTTTGGCCTTTTTTGGCCTTTAGCTGTTGTTGACATGAAAGGGATGTGAAACCCTTTTATATGTGGATGATATATTGTTATTGCCTTTTTAATCAAAGCAACTGTATTTTGTCCGACTATTTCTGACACACGTTCATTGTTTTTCTACTCTTCTGTTCTCTAATAGCGTTGGTCTGGATCAGACATATGAACTGCTTGAAAAAATGGAAGATTTTGGAGATGTGAGGAATGGACATTTCCAACAATCAGTTCAAGGATGATCAAGAAGACAAATAGTGTCTGCAGGCTTTCTGCACTTAATATTTAATGCGATGATTCATTCATCACCTGACACTTTGTTGTTGCCACGTAGATAACACTGAAAAGTAAGTTGTTGAAATACCAAACAGATTAGAAATAGAGAGGAGGATTAATTCTGTGCTTTCTCTTACAGGCTAAATGCTTTAATTAATGCACGTCACACAATAGTGAAGTAATTACCTGCAGAAATTATGCTAAACATGTATTTAGTGATTGTTGTACATTACAGCAACATGCAATGCTACATGTGTAGTTCTGATTTGTGTTGCTTCCACTGTGGCTCATCCAGTCTCCAGTCAATATAATATATCAATACTGGGATCTGGTTCTGTGCAGTCATTTAGATTTGGATCCTCCCAAGAAATAAACAGCAAACACTGAAGCTGCTCATGCAATGCCGCTGAGAGGTTTGGGGTTTTTTTTAATCTTACTTTCATTTTGTCTCCAGCAGTTACAAGAAATCAGGTGACTGCAGAATAGCTATCTGGATTCTTTTATTGATTTATTTTTATGCAGTATTATTGCTGATCACAGCCCAGGTTTATTGTCTTAATGTTGAGTATTAACATTATTTACAACATTACAGAACATTGTAGTATTATTTTATTGTGCTGCTTTTAGGATCTTTGGGTCAACACAGTGGAAAGTACCTGATTCAGCACCCAGTGAGAGACTCTGTCATGACCTCGGTTTGTTGTATCACTTTTGCTTTTGCACAGTTGTGAAAAACAAAATTAAGATTACGAGTATCTGCTCTTCTCCAACAGACCTGATAAATTGCTTTACGGGAGGTTTAAATCGGGCAACCAGGATACAAAGCAGCCAGTAAACAAACGTTGCTCTGGTTACATTTTAAATGCTGAACCTGGATCATCAGGTGGTTTCCAGTTTTCACTATTAGTCATAACAACACTTGAAGTCTAGCTTAACAAAGAAATACATTCCTACTGTGAGCTGCAACATATTACCAAGCACATTGTTTGCAGGCATCAGATTTACTTACATTTTTTGTTTTGCAAATGAGCCTGGACTTTTAAAAAGATGTTGTGTCAAACTTAGTAGTCTTCCCAGTGAAGAACAGCACATTCTCAGTCTTATATCTGATCACTCAAGGGCCCAGAGTTATTCATCAACAGCACCAGGATCAGAAATACCTGCATATGTTAACTTAATTCATTATTATTTTATCATATTATTATTGGCAGGAACATTTCAACAAACAGAATCTTTAAACTGCAATTTATGCAATGATTTGGACAGCACACAGCAACAGTAAATGACCAATTAGAACATTCAGGCAGATATATATTCATTGTTTATATACAGTAGGATAACTGTTCATACAAGACTAAATGATGAAGCTAAATTAGGACTACATTTGTTTTTATGATCTAGAACACAATCAAATGTCTGCCATTTAGGATTTTATGTTTGTCTGTAGGGGCTCTCTGACATATACATCTACATGTATGACAAGAAGAGAGAACTCCACAGACTTTGATATTTTATATCTTTTATTTAAAGAGAACAACAGCAGGGTTTTAGGGAGAACAATTCTCACAGTGAATCTGATACACAGTGAGAATCACAGAGCAGTGAAATGTCGCAACGATAAAGCAAACACAAAAACTGACAACAAAAACCCTTGGGTGAAAAGCAGACCAATGAGCTGACATTCAAAAAACAACACAGACAAAGATGAACCAATAATAACTAAATATACTGAATTTAAAGTTTGTACACATATATACATGTTCTGATTTATTGTCATCACTGTAATTAAGACAAGTATCAGTTATAATATTTATATTTGGCAGCAAATTTCTCACAAACAAACACAAATATGATCATATTTATCAGATGTTTCTGGATGGAAAATAGGTGCACTGGTATTACTTGAGGGAAGACGGCCTGGTGTGGTTCAAACGATACCACACAGGTACCGAGGTCTGTCTGGGGGCGACACCGCTGCTGCATGATGCGAAATAGTCACTTGTTGTTATACATTTTTGGCGCTGCTTCAAGCACACGAAGCAGAACTTCATCTTACATTGGGGACAACCAACATATTTACACTCTATTGTGCTGTGCTGCAGCAGTGA